GTGCAGTACATCAGGCATAGGACTCGTGCTTGGAGGGAGGAGCTCAGTTGACCTCACTGGGCACTCAGACGCTTCTTGGGTTGACGACCAGGCTACGCAGCGGTCGTCACAGGGTTACACCTTCAGCCTTGGCTCTGGTTCAGTTTCTTGGCGTTCTACACGCTCGTCTTCAGTTCTCAGCTCCAGTTGTGAGGCTGAGATCTACGCCACAGCCATGGCTGCACAGGAGTTACGCTGGCTCACCTACCTGCTGACTGACTTGGGAGAGCAGCCTCGTTCTCCTCCAGTGCTGTACGTCGACAACAAGGCTGCCATTGCCTTGTGTGAGGAGCACAGACTGGAGCACAGAACGAAGCACATCGCTCTGCGTTACTTCCTGGCTCGAGAGTTGCAGCAGCATGGTCAGCTTCGTCTGCGTTACGTGGCCACTCGGGCCAACACTGCTGATATATTCACCAAGGCACTACAGTCTGGTGATCATCAGCGTTTCTGCACTATGCTAGGGCTTGTGCCCACTTTTCTTCACTTGCTGTAGGCTTTGCTTGTACTGTGATCTATATACATATACACCTGCATGCTTGCTTTGCTAGGTAGAGATCACTGTGCTGTTTGTGTTGCATATATGCCTCTGCATGTGGACTGGCCTTGTGGCCCTTTGCTTGTGCTCAGAGTGTGTGGTGACGTTGTGATCCACCCTGAGCTTGCTTTGCCTTTCTTGACTGGTCTTGTGACCCCTTGCTCTCCCCCACTTTGCCTATGGGGGTGTGTCAAATGTTATATCTACTACAATTTGTTTAGGCTGTAGTGGGGTAGTTACTATGGGGTACAGTAAGTTTAGGGTTTCCTACTTGTACCCAACTCTTTCCTAGTGCAATCACTCTTGTTCATTCTGATAGTTTGCTCGGCGCTGGAGCCGTGCTGTTGGAGCTGGAGGTCCTGCTAGAGGTACTGGAGCTGCTGGGGCTGGTGGTGCTGTAGGAGTTGAAGCTGGAGGCGCTGGAGCTGGTCCTGCTGGAGGTGCTGCTGGAGCTGTTCCTGCTGGAGGTGCTGCTGGTGCTGGAGCTAGTGGTGCTGCAGGAGTTGGAGCTTGAGGCGCTGGAGCTGGTCCTGCTGGAGGTGCTGCTGGAGCTGTTCCTGCTGGAGGTGCTGCTGGTGCTGGAGCTAGTGGTGCTACAGTAGTTGGAGCTGGAGGCGCTGGAGGTCGAGCGTTCGTCGAGGAACGTTTCTCCAGGGTTCATTGTGCTTGCTATTTGGGATCTCTTTCCTTGTACCATAATCTTGTTCTATCAAATTTTCTTAGTGAAACTATGCTCGAATTCTACTAAGTCATTCAAACACTCTGTCCAGAATCACTGCCAGAACTCTGACCGTGCGTCACACGCAATTCAGTTCTCCCTTAGAATAGAATTCTCCGCATGGTGCGGTGAGCGTGGAACGACCCCGCGTTAGAACCTTCAGATTAGACAACATTTCGCTCTATACCTAAGTCGTTGTAGGCCGGCAACCACCTGGACCGCCATGGACGACCAAGGAGTCGATGCAGGAGTAGAGGATACTCTACAGGCGCGGTTGGATGCTGTTCGACATGGATTGAGTCAATCGAACCCCAGCTAGAGATCGCCGGATTGAAGAAGTTCGTTGACGGCAAGGTGGAGATGCCGGACGAAGACGACTCTGAATTGTTGGTGGAATTTCGCGCTGCTCACCTTCTGACTTTCATGGTCCTTTCACGGTGCTGTTCGCCACTGGTGCAAATTGTGTTAAAGCCGTGCCGACTTCGTGTGGACGCCGGCTACCAAGCGTGGCAGTACATCATGCGCACCTACAAAGCGACCGACGACCTCTACATCAGCCAACTGGAGAAGAAATTGGCCACCATTCGTATGGGCGAGCAGGAATCGGCGACCGAGTACTGCAATCGAGCGCGACGAATTTTGGCCGACATGCTGATGGCTGGCTTCGAGTACTCGGTGGCGTCATATGTCACGCATGTCATTAATGGCCTCCCCTCGAGCTACAATCTGATGCGACGGATGCTGATCATGCCCGGCGCGCGCGAGACTCTGAACGAGGATTCGCTTTCGAGTCACATCATCCAGGATGAGTTCATGCAGGAGTCTGAGCGGTCTTCAGAGCTCCTTCCGCAGGCCAACTACGTTGCTCCGACGAAGCAGGGACGTCAGACGGGACAGCGTGGGAAGTCGGGCGGAGGAGGAGGCAGTGGCGGAAAGTTGTTGAACACGAAGTCAACGGAGGGCGCCGACCGCGGGAAGTCGGCGAAGGGCAATGATCGCGGTAGTAGTAAATCGCGTCGAGGAGGACGTCGCTGCTACATCTGCGGAGACCCTGACCATCTCTCGTACGACTGCCCTGATCGCGACGAGTCCGACGACGATCATCGAGGAAGCCGCGGGAAGTCTAACAGCGAGCGTCGTCGTCGAGACCACGAGCCGCGCAAGGAGAAGCCAGCGTCGTCGAAAACGTCGTCGACATCAGAGGGAGACACCTCGAGCGGCAAGGAAGCCTCTTGTTCGATGGTTGGAGTGGTTGAGCCAACTATTTCGCTGGCGCCGGAGGCTGGAGAAGACTTCCAGGCGGTCGCTGCAGCCGTGCAGGCGAATCCGAGCGTGGTGCTCCTCGACAGCGGCTGCTCTCATCATCTGATGGGAACGCGAGAGGCCTTCGTCGAAATGAAGCCAGGAGGAGAAATCCGTCACGTGCGCGGATTCAACGGGGCGCTTCAGAACGTCGAAGGCCGTGGCACAGTTGCTCTGAAAGGGGAGACCGGGAAGCAGATTCTCATCCCTGACGTGTTGTATGTTCCGGGCGTGCACGCGAATCTACTGTCTGCTGGTCAGCTGAAGGAAAACGGCGTGAAGCTGCAGAACGAGGGTGACGAGATGCTGCTCGTTTCCGCTGCAGGAGATGTGCTCGGTCAAGCACGCTACACCGGCCGGGTCCTCTGCACCGACCTCCGCCCCTGCTCCTCAAACTTGAGAGGCAATTGCTCTGCGGACGATCGCATCTGCGACGAAGTCAACGCTGGACACGTGGCACCCGAGGCTCGCGCATGTCGGCATTGACACGATTCAGAGTTCGGCAAGGCATGGTGTTGCCATCGGTCTGGACATCAAGAAGTCGACCAGTGCCGACTTGCCGTGTGCCTCCTGTGTCGGAGGGAAGCTAGCGCGACATACTTTTCTAGAGAAGGGATCGGACGCCGAAAACGCCCTTGACGTCGTGCACATTGACCTCTGCGGCCCCTTCCGCGTGGCCGCCATGGATGGGAGCCTCTATTTCCTCCTCCTCAAGGACCGCAAGACTCGCTTTGTGTGGGTCCGCCCGATCGCGAAGAAGAGCGATGTGCTGGTCATTTTCGAGAAGTGGCTGAAGGAAGTGGAGCGGCAGACTTCAAAGTCGGTGAAACGGCTGCGCTCTGACCGCGGAGGGGAATTCCTCGGTCGGGCCTTCACCGATCTCGTCGAGGACAAGGGTATCCTCCACAACCTCACCTGCCCCTACACTCCGCAGCAGAATGGCATGGCGGAGCGGGAGATGCGCACGGTCGTCGAAGCTGTGCGGACGATGCTGCTTCACATGGGGGTGAAGCATCACTGGTGGCACCTCGCTCTTCGCCACGCCGTCTGGGTGCGCAACTGCCTTGAACGGGCCTCCCTTCCTCCGAGGACGACGCCGTATGAGCTGCTGTTCGAAAAGAAGCCGGATCTCACACTGGCGCGCGTATGGGGCTGCATGGTGCAGTTCATGGTCCCGGAGCAGCAGCGCGGCGGAAAGTTGGCGCCGAAGGGACGGTGGGGCATTCACCTTGGTGTTTCGCCGGAGAGCAAGGGCTGGGAAGTGCTCGATCTCACTGCCAACCGCATTGTCACAACCGTGGAGGCAATCTTCTATGAGGCGATGTCTCTGGAGGAGTGGAAGGTGGAGCACGGGCCCGCGTCAGAGCGGACGCAGATTTCTCCGCCGACAGGTCCGTCGCCAGCGGCGATTTCGTTGCTCGAATCCGAGGACGATGGTCCTTCTGAAGATCCTTCTCCCTCCATTCCGCCCTTGTCGAAACCTCCTCCTCCTCTTCCCGCCTCCCCCCCTTCGCTTGCTGCCGATCTGCCTAAGTCGGCATCGACGTCGGCCGCCAACGATGAGGGGAGCATTGGTGCGTCGCCTTCGGCTCCGCCCATCGGCATCGCTAGCGGTCGACGTAATCTGATCGGCAAGCAAGTCGGCGTTGGAGAGGAGTCTCCGCCGACAGGGGAGCCATCGAACGAGAAGCGCGTTTCAGAGAAGCTGTTAATAGGGGAGCCGTCGAACGAAAAGCTCGTTTTAGAGGAGCCGTCGACAGGGGAGCCGTCGAACGGGGAGCGCGTTTCAGAGGAGCTGTCGACAGGGGAGCAGTCCGACGATGGCACATCGAGCAACGTGGTGGAAATCTCTGCCGACAAGCCTGCAGTTCGATGTTCCACCCGCTCCAACTTTGGCAAGCCTCTCGAGAGGCTGAGCTACCATGCGTGCCTCCCGCCGTCCTCCTACAGCACTTTGCTCGACGATGCGCAGTTCGACGTCAACGTGCCCGAGCTCGATCCCGATATGCACGCTGACCCGGAGCATTGATGGGACATCGCTAACATGACAGTGAAGGAAGCGTTAGCGAGCTGGAAGGGCAAGGCGGTGAAAGCGGCGATGGACGAGGAGATTCGAAGTCTTATCACCAACGGCACTTGGGAGCTAGTGGAGCGCCCGCGCGGCGTCAATGTCATGAAGAACCGCTGTGTTTTGACGACGAAGTATGTCGGAATCTGCCCCCTCTTCTCAGGCCCTCCTCTTCCTGTGTTCTAGGATCCTCACTCTGGTCTCTCTGCTGCCTTTCCTGTCACATTCACTTGGCGCAATTCAGCTTGCTGCTTCCAGATTTCTTCACAAGGCTTTCTCTATCTGTAATTGTTCCTCAGCACTCATCTCGGCTTCTCTCTCAGATTTGTAGAGCCATGGCTGCCTACAATGGCAAGTACGCAGAGGAGCTTATTGCCAACGCCAAGAAGATCGCGACCCCAGGAAAGGGTATCTTGGCGGCTGATGAGAGCACTGGAACCATCGGCAAGCGCCTGAGCGCCATCAATGTCGAGAATGTTGAGTCAAACCGCCGCGCGCTGCGTGAGCTGCTGTTCACTGCGCCCGGCGCGATGCAGTACCTGAGCGGCGTGATCCTGTTCGAGGAGACGCTGTACCAGAAGACGGCGGACGGCAAGCCGTTCGTGGACCTGATGAACGAGAACGACGTGCTGCCGGGCATCAAGGTCGACAAGGGCACCGTCGACATCGCCGGCACCAACGGCGAGACCACCACGCAGGGCCACGATGGCCTCGGCGCGCGCTGTGCCGAGTACTACAAGGCGGGCGCGCGGTTCGCCAAGTGGCGCGCGGTGCTGAAGATCGGAGCGAACGAGCCGTCGGAGCTGGCGATCCAGCTGAACGCGCAGGGCCTGGCGCGGTACGCCATCATCTGCCAGGAGAACGGGCTGGTGCCCATCGCGGAGCCCGAGATCCTCACCGACGGCTCGCACACCATCGAGAAGTGCGCCGAGGTCACGGAGCGCGTGTTGGCCGCGACGTACAAGGCGCTGAGCGAGCAGAAGGTGCTGCTGGAGGGGTCGCTGCTGAAGCCCAACATGGTGTCGCCCGGCTCCGACGGGCCCAAGGTGGACGAGAAGACCATCGCCGCGCTCACCGTGCGCGCGCTGCAGCGCACCGTGCCCGCCGCCGTGCCCGGCATCATGTTCCTGTCGGGCGGGCAGAGTGAGGAGCAGGCGACGGTGAACCTGAACGCGATGAACCAGCTGGACACGAAGAAGCCGTGGACGCTGTCCTTCTCGTACGGGCGCGCGCTGCAGAAGAGCACGCTGGCCGCGTGGCAGGGCAAGGAGGAGAACCTCAAGGCGGCGCAAGAGGTCTTCACCACGCGCGCGCGCAGCAACTCCGAAGCCACCCTCGGCAAGTACGCCGGCGGCGCCGCCTCCGCTGCCGCCACTGAGAGCCTTCACGTGAAGGGCTACGTGTACTAGGTAACCGGGGCCATACCCCCATAGATAAGTGCCATGTTTTTACCTTTTTGGCATGTTTCGATTTAGCTTAATGCAATTATACTACCGCAATTTTTTTTTTTTTTTGTGGGAGGATGTTTAGCTAATTGAGAAAACATACAAGCAAGCAGAGGCCTCGGGGCTCTCTGCGCATCTAAGTATCATTCTTAATATTACCGTTGCCTCTTGGCTGGCCCCCCTTTCGGCTTTCCCGCTACGAAAGCCGTTATCCTTTTCGGCCTTCCCGCCGATCTCCTGTATTCGCTACAATGCAAGCTACACTGCTCTGTCACACAATTATATGAAGGTTCCTTCTGCTGCCTAGTTCTATTATGCCTTTATTAATTGCGTGACAGCTGTCGGAATCTGCCCCCTCTTCTCAGGCCCTCCTCTTCCTGTGTTCTAGGATCCTCACTCTGGTCTCTCTGCTGCCTTTCCTGTCACATTCACTTGCCCCCTCCTCGGCTCCTGGTTCCTGGGTTAGACGATGGATCTTTATGGTTGTCGGCAGGAAAGCTCTCCGCCCCGCCGTTCCGCCGGGGTCTGGCAGCTGCCACGTTGGTGATGTGATCCCGACGCTCCTCCCCCTTGGCACCCACCAGTACGATCACCCCTGAGTCCTTCACCTCCCGCACTTTCCACCTTTCTTTGGTGAGCCCAATATCCAGCAAGTCCCCCCTCGCTTTCTTGAGGTAGACCTCTCCTCCCGGCTGGACGCCTCCTGTCAACATATATTTTATATGTGTTGTTTAGGTTAGTCTAGGTGTTACATTTCTACTTACTTGCATGATTAGGGTTTGCTATATCTAGGGTTGTACTTCACATTTTCTATCAATTCATTCTTATCGTAACATGGTATAGAGCTAGGTTTCCCTTAGGCGATTTTTCCCCTAGGCGATTTTTTCCCTTAGGCGAAATTTCTCTCGATAGTCTATGGGCCCACCACCCGCGCGCCTCGTAGCGACCCATAGCCCGAAGCGCCCTGCCCCGTAGAGCCCGAGTAGGTCGCGCCCCCCGTCGACATCGCGCGTCACCCGTTTCTGCCCTGCGCCCCACCCGTTTTTTTGCCGAGCGTCACTCGGTTTTTAGCCCCGCGCCCCACTCGTTTTACCCCGCGTGTTGCCCCCCAGTCCTCTAGCGCGCAGCAGACGAACGCACGTAGCTGCGCGCGCAGCCTTAGTCGCACCCGCAGCTCCGCGCTAGTACGTCGTAGCCGCGCGCACGTGCAGCCCACCGTCGTAACCGGCCCCCAGACCTGAAATCCCCCTCAGAACCGCACAGAACCGCCGCCTTAACAGCTTCCCCACCTGAAAACCGCCGCCCCAGACCTGACAACCGCCGCCCCACCTGGAAACCTGCTGCCCCACCCGTTCCAGGCACCTCACCCGGGATCAGCCGCCCCACCCAGTCCTCTCCACCGCATTGAACCGCACAGAACTGCACATAACTGCACAGAACCGCACAGAACCGCCGCCTTAACAGCTTCCCCACCTGAAAACCACCGCCCCAGACCTGAAATCGCCGCCCCACCTGGAAACCTGCTGCCCCACCCGTTCCAGGCACCTCACCCGGAATCAGCTGCCCCACCCAGTCCTCTCCACCGCATTGAACCTCACAGAACCGCACAGTACTGCACATAACCGCACAGAACTGCACAGAACCGCCGCCTCACCCGTAGCCCGCTGCCTTAACAGCTTCCCCACTTGAAACCTGCCTCCCCACGATCTACCACACCCGCCGTCAGTAGCCCCAGCCGATTACACTGCCGCCAGCTACACCAGCAGCAGCATAGGCTGCCCCCAGCGCACCAGCAGCAACGTAGGCTGCCCCCAGCAGAACCAGCAGAACCAACAGAACCAGCAGAACCAGCAGAACCAGCAGAACCAGCAGAACCAGCAGAACCAGCAGAACCAGCAGAACCAGCAGCAGCATAGGCTGCCGCCAGCACACTAGCAGCAGCATAGGCTGCCCCCAGCGCACCAGCAGCAGCGTAGGCTGCCCCCAGCAGAACCAGAAGCGGCATAGGCTGCCACCAGCGCACCAGCAGCAGCATTGGCTGCCCCCAGCAAAACCAGTAGCAGCTAAGGCTGCCCCCAGCAGAGCCAGAAGCAGCATAGGCTGCCCCCAGCGAACCAGCAGCAGCATAGGCTGCCGCCAGAGCACCAGCAGCAGCAGCATAGGCTGCCCCCAGCGAACCAGCAGCAGCATAGGCTGCCCCCAGCGCACCAGCAGCAGCTTAGGCTACCGCCAGCGCACCAGCAGCAGCTTAGGCAACTGCCAGCGCACTAGCAGCAGCATTGGCTGCCCCCTGGAGAACCAGTAGCAGCCTAGGCTGCCTCTCAGCAGAACCAGAAGCAGCACAGGCTGCCCCCAGCGCACCAGCAGCAGCTTAGGCTGCCCCCAGCAGAACCAGCAGCAGCATAGGCTCACATGGCATGTACTAGGGTTCTACAACAACAGGGCCAGCCGCAGCACTCCCGTCAGTGGGGGCCTGCGGGTCCAAAGTGTGGCGCCCCCAGCAGTGGCTCAGCTAGCAGTGGGCGAGACGTCGGCCCCTGCGGGTACCGGGCCCTGACAGGCCCTGGTGCTGGCACTACCTGCTGGAGTCCTGACCACACTGCGTCCAGCTGCTACCGTCGACTCGACGACCTCCACCGTGAGCGTTTTGGTCCTCACGCTATTACACCGCACTGGCCTTCGCGCCTTCGCCAGCGCACTACTGCACCAGTTGAGTCTCACCTGCCTGGTCTAGGACCCTTTCCGGCTGCACGAGTAGAGACCTGTGTTTCCAGTCTTGGTGCGTGTGTTGTTTCCAGTCCCGGCGCCTCTGAGGGTCTTTGTGTAGAAGCTGCAGCTACCACTAGTCTAGCACTAGCCTTTGTAGCTGGTTCGGGTGCGACCCCACAGACTGCACAGCTTTCCTTCACCCTAGATTCTGGAGCGTCCAGCTGTTTCTTTCGCGACTGTACCGACCTCACACCACTGCGCACTCCAGTCACTGTCGCCTTGGCTGACCCCTCTGTGGGACGTGTAGTTGCTAGCAGCACCACCACTCTTCCGTGTCCGGCGGCTCCCTCAGGTTTTCTTACAGGTTACTACACCCCCTCGTTCTCTAGGAACCTGGTGGGTGTCAGTCACCTTCACGACCTAGGCGTAGTCACTACTTTCCCACTGGACGAGCCTGTTGCCTCCTGCACTGTCGGTGCCACTGGGGCGCCCCTGGCCACATTCCATAGAGAGCCGGGATCTGGTCTGTACTCACTACACACTGGGTCCCACCGCACTGAGTCGGGTCAGGTCAGGTCAGGTCAGGTAGCTGCTGTGTCGTGTGACTGTCGGTCCCTCACCCACCCGTCGGTCCTCTGGCACCACCGTCTAGGTCACCCGTCATTCCCGCGTCTCAGTAGGATGGCACGTTACCGTCTGGTCTCAGGTCTCCCAGGGTCGTTTGCACCGCTTCCCCGCTCGCCTGCGCCACTGTGCACTCCTTGCGTCGAGGGTCGGCAGCGCGCTGCCCCTCACTCCTCCTCGTTCCCCCCCACCACGGCTCCCTTCGAGACCCTGCACTTGGACGTCTGGGGCCCCTCTCCGGTCCTTGGCCCACGTCAGGAGCGCTACTTCCTGATTGTGGTGGACGACTACTCCCGCTACACCACGGTTTTCCCCTTGCGACGGAAGGCCGACGTGCCTACCGTCCTCGAGCCGTGGCTACTAGCGTGGGGTGGCGCCCAGGGCCTGTGTGGGCTTCGCCTACACTCGGACCGTGGTGGTGAGTTTTCTTCCACTCGCCTGGAGACGTTCTGTCAGGGTCGGGGGATCATCCAGTCTTACACGCTACCAGCATCACCGCAGCAGAACGGGGTAGCCGAGCGACGCATCGGCCTGGTCATGGAGGTTGCCCGGACCTCCATGTGCCATGCCGGTGCCCCCCAGTTCTTGTGGCCCCAGGCAGTCCGCTACGCCGCGCACCAGCTGAACCTGTGGCCCAGTGACGCACGGCCAAGGGTGACGCCGGTCTCCCTTTGGACAGGTTCTCCGGGCGTAGCAGCTGACTTCCGCGTCTGGGGTTGTCTGGCTCACGTTCGCGCCCCTGGCGCGAACAAGTTGTCTCCGCGCACTCGTGCCTGCGTCTTTCTTGGCTTCCCTTTGGACGCCTCCGGCTGGGTGTTCTACGACGCGGTCACCTACCAGTTCTTCGCTTCGCAGGACGTCACGTTCGACGAGTCTGTCTGTTACTACAGGAGTCGCCCCCACCGAGGTACTGAGGCCTTTTCCCCCCCGCTGTTCCTCACCCTTGAGCCCCCACCAGTCGCCCCGGTAGCCCCCCCCCCCTTCGCGTCCTGCCCCGTCAGGTGTGTCGCACGTCACTCCGCAGTCTTCCCCCCCGCAGCGTCCAGTTCCTGTCGTGTCTGGGGGTGCGGGAGGTGCAGTTGCGGAGGGTGAGGGTACTGGGGCTGCAGGAGCTGGTGGTGTCGGCTCTGGGGGTGCAGGGGTTGTGGGCGTGGAGGTCACTCCTGTGGAGGACACGGCAGCCTCGACTCGGCGGCCTCGCCCTGCCTCACCCCCTGGCTTCCCGTCCGTCCCGCAGTTTCCTCCTCCTTCTTCTCTGCGGTCGGTTGCTGCGGAGCCTGGGGGTGTTCATGCGGGAGGTACTGGAGGCCCCGGGGGTGTCGGTGGTGGAGGTGCTGGTTCTGGGGGTGCTGGAGCTGGAGGCACTGGCACTGTGGCGCCTACACCGCGCACTGTACGTTTCCTGACCCGTGAGCAGCGTCTCCTCCGGTTGGAGAGGGAGGAGCGTGAGCGATTTGAGAGGGCACAGCAGCAGCAGCAGCAGCAGCAGCAGCAGCAGCAGCAGCAGCAGCAGGAGAGAGTAGAGGAGAAGTCACAGCAGCAGCACGAGAGGGTAGCGCAGGAGTCCCGGTCGCAGCAGCGGGTGCAGCTGCAGCCGCAGCAGGAGAGGGTAGAGGAGGAGTCACGGCCGCACCAGGAGAGGGTAGAGCAGGAGTCCCGCCCGCAGCAGCAGGTGCAGTTACAGACACAGCAGGAGAGAGTAGAGGAGCAGTCACGGCCGCACCAGGAGAGGGTAGAGCAGGAGTCCCACCCGCAGCAGCAGGTGCAGTTACAGACGCAGCAGGAGAGAGTAGAGGAGGAGTCACGGCAGCAGCAGGAGAGGGTAGCGCATGAGTCCCGGTCGCAGCAGCGGGTACAGCTGCAGCCGCAGCAGGAGAGGGCAGAGGCGGAGCCACAGGAGCAGCAGCAGGGGCCGGTACCGTCGCAGCAGACGCCAGAGGAGGCGGAGCAGTAGCGACTGCGACTACGCGACCTCCCCGACCCAGCACCTGCACGCTTTGTTCGTGGTCCCCTACCGTCCCCTCCTGTTCCACCAGTTGAGTCCCTTTCCTCCTCCCAGTGGACTCGTCGTCCTCCCCTCAGTCGTGCTGTGTCTCCACAGCCCCGTCGGTCCCGTTACCGTGCAGACGGTCC